CATATGTCAACTTTATTTGTATTAGGCTAGGATTAATTTACTTACTTTGTATGTTAGAGATTCTTAATGTAATGACATAAAAACAAAAGTTTAATAAATGTCTCGTATTTAATGCCTTTTGCAAAAAAAAAAAAATAAAATAAAAAAATAATTTATACTCATTTAATTAACCAAAATACCTTTTTTAAATATTATGTAAAGCAGTCTATTACTTGATGACAGACTTGATATTTTAAACTAATTTTATTATTGTTAGAAAACATTATAAGTAAATAAATTAAAAATAAAAATATATTTATTATTATACAGTATATATTATATTACAGGAGTTATAGTACTCTAACTTTAAATAAAAATCTTCTTTGAAGTATAGAATATTAAAAGTCAAAGTTTATTTGAATTAATAAATAAACATTTTAGTAATAATTATAAGTTAATTAATACTAGTGAAAGAGTTGCAAAAATCTGGATTGCTATATATACAGTATTATATAAACATAATTTTTAATATAAAATCTAGTGATCGACATGTAAAGTTTATTAATGTACAATATTTTGAACCCCTGTAAGGGGAAATGTCCCATGACTGTTATAATAGTACAATATTAAATATTATTATAGTAATTAAAAATTTCTAATTAAATAAGCTAATTTAAAGCCATTCTATAAAATATAATCAAGTCACGTGACAAAACTGGTAAGATTAAACTCTGTGCGCCCTCGTGGAAAACCATGATTTGGTAAATTGTATATGTGGCATTTAATATTAAATACGCACAAGGATGCAATTCCAACCGTTCTTAAATCTTTAACGTGCAATGTCAGCTTCACACGATTCTCAGAGTGTTCAAAGTAGTAGCGAAGTTAACGAGTATGTTTGCAGTCTCTCTACTCATCTTTGTCAGTACTTTTATTCGTAACTCATGAAATACCCCTATAGTTCTTTGAATAACTTGGATGGATCGCCAGATAACTTTGAGGAATTTTCGTCGAATACTCAAACCGTACGTCCTAATGAAATTTCCTCTAAAGCAGCGTTGGTTCGTTATCCATAAAGTATATGCATTCTAACGTAGAGTCCACACATCTTGAGTTTCTAACGCAGAAATTTCTTAGGCATTTTCCATACTCTGTGACTTACTGGATGAATGCACACTAGATGTAATATTTGAAGTTCACAGAGAAACTAAGTTGGCAGCATCTATATGTCAAATATGTAATACTGAGTGAGTAATAGGTTTTCCACTTGATTTTCAAATTACATTTTAACATACGTTTTTTTGTTCAGATGTCGCTCTTTTGGTAAGCGGAAGTCGTCGATTTGTCTGGCAATCAAGGATAAATGTAAAGTTCGTTGATTAACGGTAAAAATTGTAGTTGCTCAGCCGGGATTGGATATTTTCGGTAATCACCCTCAGTCAAACAATTCCCCTACTTTCGAATGTGTACATTGTCAACGGCCTTATCCATCAAAACGGTACGCGCCTCACCTGGAAAAATGTATGGGTTTGGCGGGTAGAAGCTCAAGCCGAGTTGCTAATTTGAGGTATTTAAGACGTCACTAAGGCTATCTACATGGTAATTTTATAAGCAATTAACTGAAATTCATTGATAAGGATGGGTAATGAAAGAAATTCATCATCACCACATACTCCATATTCTGAAGACAATGGAAACCCAAGCGATTCCGACGGGGGTTTATATATAGATAAAAAACGTGAGTCCGTGACCAGGCTTGATTTTTCGGTAGAATATATATATACATATATTTGTTTAATAAAAAAATTCGCCATTTTGCAGGCAAGAAAATTAACGGAAAATCTAGGGTAAAATACTTCTTAAAAGTTCTTGACAAATATTTAGATCTTATAATTCAAGGTGATTTATTGAATAAATAGGCTTCGTCACCTGCAAAATATTCAAAGTCCAAAAAGCAAAAGTCAATGCGTTAGTATTACAAAGTTTCTTGTTTAATTTACTATCATTGTTGTTATCACAATACTTGATGACAATTCTACATCATGATCTAGCTGACGTATCAAATCTCGCAAATGCAGGGACAAAGGTATATTTTTATATTATCGTTAATAGGAATTTCGTTATAATTATTATGTTGATATCAATCATGTTTATATTTGCCTTCGATAGTTAAAGTGTAAGTGTTAACAAAAAGAATTATAAACCTTTGTTTGTATATATAAGTTTCTTATTCACGTATCATTTGATTTATAGTGATATCAAAGACATCAACTGGATCGGAAAGTCCTGCGCCATTATCTACACCCGATAGCCCGCATCGCGGACAATCACCATCCAAAATCTCGTTTCCGACGCAATCGGATGAACTAATCCAGATCGATAAGTCGAAGAATGTAAACCATTTTGATCAAGAAAAAAATTTTGGAATCAATGGGTATGGACCGATAATGTTATTTGGATGATTTCCTATTAATATACATTTGTTTTGCAAGAATCGTCTTATGATATGAATATATATGTAGTAAGTCAAATGAGATTTACACCATTTTGAAATATAATCACCTTTGAGATATTATTTTCAAGATGTCGCGAATCCTAATTTGATTTGCGCATATCTATTTATTGAAATTTACGATCTAACTTTATTGGAAAAGGACTGTCGCTCCTATGGAAAATAATGGGGATACATCCACACAATCGACTATTGATAATGATTTAATAGGTAAAACATTTTTTATTATGCTATTATACATTATCTCGATTATAAGAATATCTCTCTTAACAATGATGTGATATTAATTTAGATGTTGATGAAGATGAGACAATAGAAGTACTTGAGACGTCCAATAATTCTAATTTTTTGGCTTAGATTAGAATTAAAAATATTGCTTGTAAGTTTCAATGTGTCCATGAGACTTCAAATTTTGAAAATGATTATTTAATTCAATTCCCTATTTAATTTTTTGATTCAGAGAAATTGAGCAAATATCAAATTCTCTTAATAATATAAAACATATACTAAATACGGTCGCATTAACCCAATGCGTAAATGCAACCATTCAAATGTCAATTAATCGGACAGACTTGGTTTTATTATTTAACTGGTTGTGATTCATTATTATTCCGGAAGTATTCCATTCACGTCGTTTTCCTTTTCATCTTTCGAAGCTTTATTTTGCCAAAGACCATAACTCTTTCCAGGTGTTGTCTAATAATGAAGCAAAAAGAAATATGTTAAGATCAAGATTTTTCTTAAATCACGAAAATTATGTTTCTCTATGGTTCATACCTGCCACAACCTTATGGTCCCGTCCTCTGTATACATAAATATATAAACTCAAGTTAGACAATAAAGTTGCTGCAATATAAAAGATTGATATAGATCAATGCAATCACAAACCTGAGCCAGTGGCATAAATTTCTCCGTCAGGACTATAGCTTACTGTATGAATGGGTCCATGATGACCTTTGTAAACCTCTGCATTGCATAAAGTTGCTAATCAGCATTTTTGTTCATTTGTTACATGTACGCGGTATTAATCAAGATGTCAAAAATTACACTCACCAAGTTCTTTGCCACTTTCAAAATCATATATTCTCACCCACAAATCTCCACCTGCTACAAACCTCTTGTGATCAGTATGTAAAGAAACTGATGAAACATCATATGCTGTTGGGATAGATTTGGAAACCTGATAACTGATAAGTAACAATGCACAATCAAAATCAGATCATCGCTTAAGAGAAGTTAAAGTAAATGATATAAAGGCATACGTTGACGCGTCCAAAAAATGGACCACCTTTCCAGCTGTACTCGTGATGTACTTTCCATCTGCAGAAAGTTCCATACTGGTAATAGGATATTCTGTTTTGAAACTATTGACTTCACTGAAACTGCGAAGATCCCAAACACTAAAAAAAAAAAATCAATGATAAATATTATCTATCACCAAATGCATTTTAAATGGCTGTTACCAATGCACCATTTTTTAGGTGACATACCGGATTTCCTTGTCATCGCCGGCACTCAATACAACATTTCTTTCACTATCCCAAATAACACTTTTAATTGTAGATTCATGACCTTCTGTCTCTGCAATTGGTTCTTCTGGTTTGTTCAAATCGTATATCCTCAACTTTTTTTCTTGTCCACCTGACACAATGCGCGTTCCATCACCTGAAATATCTGCCGAACGCACAATGTGACCATGCGTGAACGAATGAAGCGCTTCGCCAGTGTAAGTATCCCATAATTTTCTAAATGAGATCGTAATTGCCCATGAGTTGTATATTTAAACAAAAAATCGACATTACTTACTACTTCGAGAAAATTAACGTACGCTGTAAAATCAGCTGAGGCCGTGATAGCTTTCGAGGCATCCTTGCTCAATTTAGCACTCCACACAGCACCCTTATGTCCTAAGAAAGTACCTATCCAATCGCCAGTTGGTCCGTCTCTAAGCATCGGGTTCCCATCTAAACAATAAGTATAACCATGAATTTTTATTTATGTGATGTAAAAGTAGATTTATAAATAGTTTCAATAGGCACCTTTGCATGCACTTATTAAGTAATAAGTGCCATCAGTAATGGGTGAGAATTGTAAATGCACTACCGGACGAGTGTGTCCGGAGCACGTCAAAGGTATCACTCTAGAAGGGTTCGTACTTGGTGGTTGTGATGCCATATTGAAGGAAACCAGAAAGTAAATAAATATAATGTACAAGTTATGAAGACGAAATTGTCTAAATTGTCTTTCTTGCTAAAGAATCTAGTCAATTTTTATCGCATTAAAAGTTCGAACCAATAAGGTTCATTTGTGGCCTATATATAGAATTAATACTAACACCTTTCATCTAGTATTAAAGTAATCGAACTTGTCAAAATCTCTTTGATATTATTATTGTATTACAAGTTACAATCTTTTACTTTATGCCTTAAATTAAGTAAGACTGTCGAATTAACAATCACAAATTAAATATTTTGTGAGCAAAACCCGTTTCTATTATGGTTGACCAGTTTAATAATTAATTATATGCAATGTTATCTACCAAAATATTATATAATAATTTACTAGCCATAAATTATAAAAATCTAAGATTCTTTTATTACTAAAATTACGATATATCTAAAATACTGTATGTACTTATTATTGCAAATAAGCATTATGCAAGATTTATTAAACAATGTGTTTACAGTCGTTACATTAATAATCTTTACAGTAGATATAAGTTAATTGTAATCTATTGCAATTATAATGAATAATATAGGTTGATACTTGTTTATATTACTAATGTTGAATAATTAATGTTTATTTAGAACAATAAAATTAATAATTATTTTGTTTGTGAAGTTGTTATATAATTTAGAATATTAAGAACATAATAAAAGATGTTATAATTATTTTTTATTTGTTTAAATTTGTTTAATAAATTTGTTTTTTTTTTATTTAATTTTTAATTAAAGTTTTGTTAAAAAATATTTTTTTTGTTTTTTTTTGTTTTTATTAAATAATACTTGATGGTTTTCAAGCATCAGCTGCAATAATGTTTTGTTTTTTATAATAAACTAGTAATTTGATTTTAAAAATATTTGAATTTTTGTATTTAAATAATAATTCTACTAATATATTAATAAATTTATCTTTTTTGTTTATTAATATATTTTGTATTATAGATATAATCAATAGTTAGCAATTAATTTTGTTTTAAAAATAGTTAATAATTTAAATTTGATTTAATTAAATAATTTTAATTTTTTGATTATTGTAAAAATAATATTAAGTTATTTAAAAAATAATAGTTTAAATATTATTAATTGTCTTAAAAATATTGAACATTAATATAATAATTTATTTATTTTTTTTATTTTTTTTTTTTTCCCGTAGTCAAACAAGTACATACTGTTTATTAAATCTATACAGAAAACAAATAATGTATAATACATTGTATTGCATAAACTATTCTACTGCCTTGAACATCTGTCTTTGACTGCTGTCTCTAGGTGTGACTTTGAAGATAAAAACGGTTACTCCCTTTATAATTTACTCGCTTATGGAGTTCAATATTAAAGATTATTGCCTGCAGTTCATTACTACAGTAGAAATTTTTGATTTTCTTTTTAGTAAAATTTATCAAATACAATAATAATCAAAAAGTATTTTTATTAAAACAAAATTTTTTAAGATATATTGGTTTGATTAAATTATAATAAATAAATAAATAAATTATTTATAATAATTTTAATTTATTAATTTGTAGAATAAAAATAAAATTAATTAAAAAATAATTATATTAAATTTTAAATTTTAAAAAATTATTTTCAAAAAATTATTTATTTATATTATAAAAAAATTTTTTGTTTATAATTTTTTTATTAATCAAAACTCTTTTTTGATTACAATTGTTTTGGAATTTTTGTTAACGAAAGAACAAGCCCAAGAGCTCCTTTTGCCAATTTTGAACAAGTTATTAGTAATTGTCTAATTCTTTTGACTCGTAGTATTTCACTGTAATTCAAAGTTATTTCTAAAGTCGCGGAAGGAACGAGCAATTTTGAAGTTTGCGAACAAGATATCCTTATACCGAAGGCGGATGCCTTCCACCTAGACGAAAGGTCTGGAAGAAATAGTTGGAGGATGTGTTGAATGTGAGGAAATAATAGGAGAGGTGATGTCGCATAGTTATAATCTAGTTGATGTTTTCCCCACGATCAAAGAGAGAAAATTCACGATATACCATATTTCGCCCTTGTTCAAGATATAGATGTATTGTAATTTTTCTTCATTTTATATTTTTAAATTATAAAAATTATAAATAATGGATAATGGGTAATTTACGACATAATACTGTATATAAAGTCAGCTATTATTCATAAGAAAAAAATAACCTTATAAATTTTAATAGAAATTCTGGATAGTTCGATCCACGTGTATCTTAAAAACACTTGTTCCTTGAAGCTCTAAATGGCATAGATGCGGCTGTTCGTAATGTTGTATACCCTCGTTTTCCTAATCATTTTTTAACATCAACCACGCATGAGTAGTTTTCGTTATACAAATCGCAAGTGTTTTATATTTTATTTTTCTTGAATGTGCATATTCAACCCTTATAATAATAATAATAATAATAGATTAGGGGAACAAATATTAAATATTGATACCAATATGACCACCGTTGTATTAAGAAATCACGGGCCGTAATAAAAAAGACTTTGCGCTTGACCATGCGTTTTTCATCATATACGGGAGTACAAGCATACTAGAGGAAACGACAGTATGGTAAAGTAATTCATCAGGATCGATCTAACGTAATGGTGTACGTGCTGACTCTCGTGGACCGGGAGTCACCATAACTAGTCAATGATTTTTTTAAGCATCAAGAAAATTAATTTTATCGAGGATCAAGATCATTTTGAAAAGTCGCTTTTTTAAATCTCGATTTGCGCGTGTTATAAATAATTTTCTCGAGGAAATTTAAAGTTTATCAATTTAACGATTAATTCAAATGATTTTCCCCGAGAAAAACCGCGTTCCGAAATTTTAATTAATTTATTAAATAAACAAAGTAAATAGGTACACGTATCTGTTATTAAAAAAAAAAAAAGAAAGAAAACAACCACTCAGATGTTGTGACATTACGAGTAATCGAGTTTATTAAATAATGAAATTTTATTATACTATATTTGATGAACAATAAAAATCGGGAATATTAATTAAATGAATCTGTGAGAATTTACAATTTGATTGTTAAATGTTGCAAATGGAAATGGGAATCAAATAAAAATATAAAAATTCTTATTTTTTTTTTCTTGGTTGTTTGTTGTAAGCAGCAATTCATCATTTACCGTATACAATACATGTGCTATTAAAAACACCACAATTTAATTAATCATTGTATCTTGCAGTATATTGATTTCTTGTCGATTTCACAAATAGCAAGGTTTCTAAAATAGAAATATATTTTAAGAGATTTTCTGTTTTGGAAAAAAAAAAATGGATCAAGGAACTGACTCTGATGACATTTCATGTTCAATCATATGGATTCCAAAGATCAATTGTGATCAATTGGAAAAAATCTGATATCAAAATTATCAAATTATTACACCCATTTTCTAATTATATCCAGACCAATATGATACATATGATCTGGAGTGTGTAAATATGATATGATTGAGTGCACTCATATACAAAATACATTCTTTTGCTTTTTTGCTTTTGCTTGATGATTGGAAAGAAGATTTATGTTTAAAGTAGGTGTGGTCAAAATTGTTTAGCAGGAAAAGATAATAATTATTACGCGATATATTTATTTATTTTAAAATAAATTTAGTAAATAAGTCGAGTCATTGTTTCGATCGTTTGATTACCGTGACAAAGCTGTCTGCAAGATTTAAATTTATTTAATAGAGTTTTACTTTTTTTTTTTTTTTAATACACGGAGCATTACTTTTCTGTCAAGGATCTAATGATTCTATCAATTTCATTTTAATTCTGCGTTACAATTGTTTCGAAAATAATCTTGCGACATTGATTTATGGTAAATCACGTGACAGATTTGGGACTCCTTTCAAAAAAAAATCATTTCCTTGCACTATCTTCAACGATCTCGGTGAGATGTTACGCATCAATCATTATTGGTTTCCGTTAAGAGATAATTTAAGGCAAGAATGTTTAAACTCTATCGATGTATAAATAAATTAAAATAATAATAATGAGAAAAAAAAATTTTTTTTTACAGGAAATCGTAATAATGGATTCACGTTGGTATCGGTGAGCGTTCATTTGTCGAGCAATTGAAGAATCCATGCAGACGATGGTGTTATGCAGCTCGTGGATATACTGTGGGTGATCCAAGTGATCTTAATTTTTTATCCGGTGAAAAGGTTTACTATGAAAAATTAGGAACCGAATTCCAGACTTTGTATAATAGTATTCTCGCACCAATTGTCTTTTTAAACTTTTTTTTTTATGAACTTTGGTCAATGGTCAAAATCATTGTTAAAGCGAGCCGAGTGTCAGGCCGTTACTGAGTCAGCCTCGTATTATTTTGATACGGTTAGATATTCGCACTTAATACGATAACCTGTTTGAGTTTGATTTTGATCAAATCTACCTATTTTCGTTTATCCGACCGACATACACCTTTTTAGAAAAACTTTTCGGCAAACCGTTTGCCTTTTATCGGATTCACACCAAATAATTTTTTTTGTGTTGAAAACATTTTTCTAAATAATGTAGGTAGGGTCGTTATCCGATAAGAATTAAACTAAATGTGGTTTGTAATGCACAGGAAATCTAATCAGTTACACATATACGGTATGCACAATACACAATTTTTATGTATGTGTATGAACGTAACGATATATACCGTATGTACGTACGTCTGTACGTAATCCAAAGGATCTTCGGTGTCTGCAAGACAGCGCGTGCAATACCGTTACACATCATGCACAAGTGTGCATAATTCGTTCACAACATGGAAAGCCAGTTAACGATGATAAGGCAGATAAATTGAATTCCTCTTATTGCTCACTGGCCGACTGACTGACTGACTGATTGATTGATTGATTAATTTCCTTGGGTTGAATGTATCTGTTATCAGTAAGGGAGAAAGAAATTTTGTTCGCTCGCGTGTCGGTCATGAGCAACTGGCGTGCCACACCTTCTTTTGGGGGGCTCTCATCGCCCTGCCCACAATTTCAGTTGCCCCTTCCAAAGGCATCGCAGCATACACAATGACTCAAACCTTGATCAATTTCTGCACAGATTTCAGTTGATCATCTCACGATCGGGATTATTCTTCCTTGGAAACTTTGCGATTCAAAAGAGAAACAATATTTAAAACTTGTGGTGTTACAAGCACGATGCAAATTCCAAATCAATACGGAGTCCTTTCTTAAACGGACCGACTGCGCACGATACGAACGTATGCAGCGTAGTATTGTCGTACCGTTTAATTCTGCTTATCTTTAGCGCTTATCTTGGAACTCGGAATTTCATTATGGTTTGTTTCATTATGTATTATCGGTTTGATCGTTAAGGAAACTCGAATTTACAGCAATAATTCTTTTCTCCCGTTTAGATGGGTTAGCTTTGTTCGCATTCAATTCAAATCGATCAAATCGAAAGCACCACTCAATTGGGAATTGCCGGAAAGGGAGAATTCAATGAAATAATAATCAGTTATGTGCTTTATGCATGTACACATAGGTACTTACGCAAAGTAGGATCGATACAGGTTTCCTAGCCTGTAGCTTATTGTTATTTCTTTATCACCTCCTGAACGGGCCTTTTTGACAGTAGATTGAACTTATTATTAAATTACCTGTTCTTGACTTGTTGGGGTAGCATCAAGGTTCTTTTCATGTTACAGATTTTTCCCTTGTTCGATGTGAAATTCAGGAAACAACCTGATCTCGTGCGAATAACTTTGCGAGTCTATCGTTCAAAGCAACGAACCAACCAGGAAATCACTTGACGAGTGCTACATTGATACATCATCCTCTTTGGAAAACCAAAGGGAAAAGAAAAAAACCCGTTGACAATGATAAACAGAATATGTGATTGTGCATTGGAACGAACGAACGAATGAAGGCAATCTTACACTAGTGACCGGGAAAAGGGTGGGAAATTTCAAATTTCGTGCAATTGACACCTTGGATTATTTCGTATGGACGTGTGCGGGTTGGTTGCAGAGTCAATCTTGGAACGTCGTCATCTTGTCTTCATTCGCTTTATCAATGTTTCGTTGCACAAGAAATTTGTAATATTGCACGTAAAAAACGAAAACGTGTTTTACAAGTGTAGCTAGTGCAATGTTATTGGTTAGAACGCACGAATTCCCGGAGATCAAGCCGTCGACAACTTACCCGGAAAAACTTCCTCATAGTGACCACATGATCTGGGGTTCATCGGTTATCGGTCTCAACCTCCGATTGGATAACTCGAATGGAAACCATCGAATGCCCTTTTTGAAACCTGAGAAACTGATGAAACTATTTATGCGCCCATTTCACGGTTTACTTGGGGTATGCACACAAATCTCGAGACAATAGAATTGGTTTGTCCATGATTTTTTTCCTCTCGCCATTGAATGCGATGCAAGACAACAAAGCGAGCAAAGATCATTTGCCGAGAAAAAAAACAACCATCAGCTTTGGAATTCCGTAGAACCTCCAAGGATGGTATGAATGATGTCATAGACATTGCCAAAATTCGGAATACATTACCAGAGAAGAAACAACAACGAACAGCACTACCATTCTAGATCTTCCTATGCGGGCTTTGTGGTTACACATGACATCATTTCACTGCAATGCTCAGCAATCCTTTTGTTCTGAAACAGAGAAAATTGGGGCAAACATGACATGCTTAGCCACACAAACTTCGTTCCGGGTACACCCGATAAAGATTGAGACATTTCGAATTCCCCTCGATACACCCTGAATGCTGGGCAAAGGTGAATAATGTCAGCCAAGAAATTTGCAAGGTTGATCTTGTACAGGCTGTCTCTCTGTTCGGATAATTAGATTGGTGCATACAGTGTATTAATTATAAATATTTATGCTTTTCCGAATATTCTCATTGGTCCTCGTCGGAAGACAAATGGTGAGAATGAGGATGCCTTTTCAAGTTATTAATTTTTTATTTGCGCTCACACGGTGTGACCCACATAGATAATAAATGAGATCGGTTTAATGAGTCCCTTTGCAACATCCCGGATAAATGTTTTGGAGGATTTCGTCGTACACGTGTATACGAAGCTATCGTACCAATTTAACCGACTCGAGTGAAGGGGGTAAAACAGTACAATACTTTAGCATCATCGGAAGGAGTCATTTCTCACCCAGTCCAACGGTCGCTTCGATCATGGACAGCATATAGATCCAGGTACTCTGCGTATGTACCGGATGAACATTGCATCGAAAGACCATGTTACGTGCGCTCCAACTAAACACAGTATCGAATGCGCCTTGCAAACAATTATATAATATAATGATCCCTTCCTCGATGCGTAACTACTTACCCACCGATTATAAATACCAAATATGGTCAGCTATATCGTTGATGTTGTATCTCTTATTTCATTTGTCTTGGTGCGACTTCCATTTTTGTAGGTATGCTTGATATACTTGGTTCACAAGAGAATGAATGTTTGAACCTTTTTTGACAAACCATGTTTGTTTTGAAGCATTTTTTTTGTATGCGAGAATATCTTATCTAACAAAGAGCAATGAGAAAATTTTTTTTGCATCAAGTAGAATATACAGCATATGCGTACAGATTCCATCATTATATTGATTAACTGACGCATTATAATATAACTTGACCGCCTCAATGGATGCGGATAAAGATCGTTATCTTCGGGACTTGAGAGAATGGTGTGTTTTCAGAGGAAACATTTGACATCACAAAACCCTACTTTCCAACACTATTATCCTTATCCCAAACATGGAAGGATACCCTTGGGAAATGAGAGTTTTGTTTGTGTTTAATCAAACCATATCAAGTAAATACATTATTGCGTAATTTATTGTTTTTTTTTTTGAAAGAAAATTTTTCGTGAAAAAAAAAAAAAAAAAAAAAAAACCCTTCACGGTGATGACCTAAAATTAGAAATTTTCAATTTTAAATCAAGAATTTGTTTTTTGGGCGTATTTTTGAAAATTTTAATAAAAAAATCGCTGTGTTCACATCATTGTTCTATGAACGATCAAGTCGAGGTCTCGGTGGATCATCTGTGCCTTTAGCGACGGCGCCTTGTATTCTGTTATTAATAGGTATGCTGGTGATCCTTAAAAAAAACATACAATGCTTACTTTGTTGCTGCCGATTTAAAAGTTTTGTGACCCGGAATTGTTGACCGGTTCAATCTTTGTCACAATAGATGAGGGTAAGTTGTTTGTTAGACATAAGTGATTTGGGATTCAATAGAACCCGAGAAATTGCAAAGATTTACAGCGTTCGGGTACCTGATGTTCGGGTTCCGTTCCCTCATTGTATCAACGTGAGATGGTTTGTTGACTTTTCTTTTTCGAAAAACAATCATCATCACCTATTATTATCGGTATTGTTTGCACAGTGCACGCATTCAATGAACATTGGTGTGTGTGAGGCTGTTTTCTCTGTGAAAAAATAGAAGAAAAACGGTAGATTTTTGTTTGTGTTGCTTAACCAAACATAATTAGATTAACAATTACGCTTGGATCAATTGTCTTTGTTTCTCATACAAGAGTGTAACATGTCGATTTGTCGAGGATCGATGGTCGGGACGTAAAGGGTGTTGAAGAAAAATTGGTTAACGACTTTTGGAGATGATTGAAAAGAAGCGTAAAAGTTAGAACCAGTTTTCTCGTCTAAATAAAGAAATCCACACTGCGGGGTAGAATCCTAACAAACGCTAGGTGCGTTACGTTACAGTTTGTCACTCGGACGTTTTTGACCGAGTTCCAACGGAGGTTGTTTGTGTGTGTATCTCGATAGCACGCACAATCTTCATTCACTACCACCACCGCACAGAACTTATCTTTCATATCTTACAAGTTTTATATCTTGTGTAATCTTTGATTAGTTGTGTTTTCTCTTCTTTTGAATTCATGCAATAAAAGATAACGTAGATTAACAGGTTAGGAAAATTCCATTATCTCGTTATCGACTGATCTATGGTTTTTGTGAAATTTTCATAAATTCTAGGCCAAGGACTTTCTCAAATCACAGGAATCCCTGCTGAATGTTGAAAGTGAATAAGAATTTGTGTTTCTAGTTATGCATGCAATCAAGATAATGTGCTTTAAGTGATCGTTTCTGGTAAAGGTGCGAGACGCGATAAGGTAGAATTCATACGCACCCTCCTCGTAAACCAATCATTCCCAAATTTTTTTATCGATACGGTTAACTACGACGCTTTCAAAGCATTAGTGCTCTTCCTTAAATTTCATACTGAGCCACGAAAAATTTGCACCAACTAGCGTGACCGGATTCGGCAAGATTTGACACGGTGATAACTCGGATGAATTTTTTTTTGCTGCGGTCATGTTTTACGCTAGTTGTTGTTGGTGGTGAGAGAGTGTTCTCGTGGTAACACATGCTTGCTGAAAGTTTCAGAGTAACCTCATTACGCAAGTCCGACTCGCAGTTTGCAATTCTTGCGATCGACAATTCGTTGTTCGCAGTTTTTATACAATTCACAATGCACAATTTACAATTCGCAATTCACAAGCCACAATCCGCAATTCAGAATTTCACACGCGCATACATTCGTCATTTATTCGAGCAAACACAAAATATCACACGCCACGTCAGGTGGATTCTCTTTCTCGCTCACTCACTCACTTCTTGATTTTTCATTTTTCCCATTTGTTCTATTTTATCCATACTAATTTGTCGCGAGTCTTTGTCCTTATGATGTACCTGTGACTCCCTGTTATTTACCGAGGTAAACAGCATCCCGTGTTCTAACCAGCTGTTTCGAATTCAAATGAACATTTACAAAAAAAAACGATGTGCCCAATCATTCATCGACATATAACCACCAGGTAGCCCCCAAACATAAGAAAGTCCGACTTAATTTCGGCGGACGTAAAGATGATCTAGTCTAATTTAGGCACCGTATTCATGATGCAAGAGTCGATCAAAAGTTGATCATTGTCAAATTTTTAAGGGATTTTTTGTTAACGTACACACATAACGTACGCATGTACACACACTTACAACCTAGCATTGACCATCGAGTTTAAGGACAGGTTGGTAATCGATCGACTGTTCGCAAAGGAATGCTAGATGTGGTTATCCGAGGTCAACATTACACGTACAACAAACCTCCTCCTCCTCAAAGTTTACATTCTCCTTGGTGCATGAATCTCATGGCGAAACATTGAAATTTCAAATGAATCATTGTGAATTTTTTTTTATTTTATTATAATTAATATATACAGTATATATACATATTTGAAATTACCTTGCGTTAAGGGCTTACCTCCGCAATCTCATTCTAGCCAAAAGTTGCATGGTTTCGGTATTTTTTAATTGTTTACTTCCTCGGATCCGCTTTAATATGGATTTTCAACCTTGACCTTAACCAAAATTGACGAATCAAAAAACTTTCTTTGTGCAAACTTTTCGGAGCTGAATGATTCTTGGGGTGAATTTATCGCCAACCATTGTCACGTGACACGTTCTCGAACGACCTCCCTCCATTCTTAATTTATACTAGGACAATCGGAGTTTTGAGTAAGTCGTAAGTCGTCAGGGAGCTATCGGATTGCGAATTATGCAATTTTATTTGGTGATCGAGAATTTCATAGCATTCGTAGGTTATTTTCGGGAAGCACATCAAACATGATGAGAACAACCTGTGGTGCACCAAACGATTATTACCTCTTTCAAGAATGGTTACTTTCGAGTGAAAATTAGACACGAGGGTTCTTGTCGGCCTTCTTTCTTTCAATCTACCCACCATTTTCCCTTCGACCGGTCATCCTGAACTGGTATCAGGGGGTGATGGTTCGGACGTAAAAATGAATAATTTAAATTTAAAAAAAATTAAATTAAAAAAAGAAAGTGAAAGAAAGAAGAAACGGTCGCATAAGTCATCATCGGATAACCAATTTGTCGAAAATCAACAAATTTTTGTATCTAAAGTGATATCACACTTGATTCGATTGCCATTTTCGTAATACTAATACGTAACTGCGAGTCAAAAGCACCATAGCGGGCTTTTTAGGATTTCCAGGTGGAAAGAATCGGATTCATGGGTGGACAACGGTAAGAAATAAGTTAGGAAATTGGTGAGTCAATTATGAGTCAAGGGTTGGTTATAATATAAATAATGAAAAATTAATTCCCCCCCAATCCTTTTTTTTTGACCTACATGGATGGCCCCCTTCTGGAAATAAGTTAGTCCATTGAGAGAGGTGAATAAATTGATGCATCCGATTCATTCCTTGACTTGGAAAAAGTCGGAAACTTGCGTCATTGGTCAGAATCGATCTTTGATGAAACCGCCGACGCAGAACTTTTTGTTTCGCAATGGTTCTATAGTTTAAATTAGTCTCTCGCTCTCTAATATACCGACCGCCACACCCCTCAACATGATTGATATATCGATTGCAACATAAATAGGTTTCCCTGTGGCTATCTCACGAAATCTTTCAGGAAATTGATAGGATGATTGAGAATGCGCATCCTGTTCTAGTATAATAATGATGATACATGTATTATTATTATTATTATTATTATTATTATTATTATTATTAGGCGAAAAAAAACCGATTTGGTTGATAAAGTATCTATAATTATTATCATCTTTTTTCCAATTAAGTTTTTTTTTTATTTATTTTATTTTTTCGGTTACTGTAAAAAAAAAAAAAAAAAAAAAAAAAAAAAAAAAATTTTTATTTTATTTTATTTTTTTTTTCCCTCTTTCTGTTATACCACACCGCGCTAATTGGTATTGATAGGTAGGAACTGGCACGTTTTTAGTACCTTTTGCTATATATATTTAATAAATTACACTACCCACCCTTATAAATGACTATTTAACGTATATTTATGTCCTTACATGAATGTACAAATATATATATATATACCTCGTTCTTTTGTTGTTTTTTTTTTTTCAGTGGACACACTGTATAAAAAAAAAATTTTTTTCTCACCGCATAAATAAAGTTTTTTTTACAATTGATATCTCGGTCATCTATTTAAAAAAATTTTATATAAACTCTTTTTGTCTTCTTGAATGGACATCGTCTTGCTTTCTTGCCTCTTTCAAAAATTTTTTTTTAAAATATTTATTCTCAAGAAAACAACAGATTTAAAAAATTTTCCTTTCAAAAGGAACAATATTACCTAATTGTGGATTATTGTATATATATATATACATATACGTATTTAAAAATTTTACATTCATCATAAAAGCTTGTCGACTTTGACTTGCCCCGATTTTTTTTCTCGATTTCGTCTCCTTGGACGTTGCTCCCTTTACGTGTTGTAATCACTCTTCAATCTTGCGAATCACCTCTCATATTCTGCAATACGTTGCTCTTTCCTCAACCTTTTTTTTAAATCACTAGCTGAAAAGAGACCAATTTCGGTTGAACTCACAAGCCTCCCGTTATATGTACGTTACGTTGTCCCGCAGTTGTTGTTGTTATATAAAAGGTTCCCAACGTGAACTAACCTTTCCCTTCTCTTCACCTTTCTTTCTTTCCTCTCTCTCCTCTCCTCTCCTCTTTACGTCTCCTCCTTCTCCAAACTTCAGGGCATCTCTACCCTTAACGACCTCCTCTATATTCTAGTAACGCTATTATTTGAAAACTTTCCACTGTCATATTCATAATCAAGTTGTCTTCAATAATAACAACAATTGAGAGCGTGGCATCGGCCCACGAGAATTCGATATCAACTTCTTCATCAATCAACATCCAAAAGGAACAATATCAATCTCATCAACAAAGTTTCTCGATGGAATCTTCTGTGATGACTCCTGAAGATAATCTTAACGGGATAATTCCCGGATATCAACGTCCAGCCGAGATCTGTGTCGATTATCTTTCACACGAATGGAAAAAAGAAGATGATATTTGGACTTCGTGGAAGGCTATGTCGAAGCAAAAGAAAGATATTGACAACGGCGTTCGTCTCGAGAACGCTTCGTGGAGATCTTGGGCCAAACAGAAATATAAACTCAAAACGGTCAAACCCGAGTTGCTCAACTGGTTGGTATCTGTTTTTTTTTTTGCATCAATTCTATTTTTCATTCGAAAGACAATCTCTCTGATACCTTTTTCTGTTATCTTCGATAGGCATAAGGACAGCGATGTAACGTGGTTGTACGGACCTTTGCACACCGCTTGGCTACCACCCAAGAAAGATGGACCAAAGTTATCAACGACCATGGGTGAACTCAACTTGAACTCGTCTTGTCACAAATCATGTTTGAAAAAGAAATCCATAACCGAGATACTGAACCCTTCTGTTAAGAGCAAATATCCGTCGTTGGTCTCGAGCAATTCGGACACTCAGCTTTACAAAAAGAATCGAGGTGACGACGACGTCAGTGACAGCGATAGCGCTTCAACCTGCTCAATATCCGGACCGACTACGCCCATATCTGGCCCCACCAAATCAATCTTACTGCCGACCGATCACGACAGTCAATCCCAGCCGCGACATCACATTCGATTTAATGATCAGGTTGAACAATGTATCGCGGTTGATTCGGCTGATGAAGACGACGATCATATTAACGCCTTGGATCTGGATAGCAGTAGTAGCGACGACGATGGTTTGGAAATGAAGATAAGTCGAAAGAAGAAGAAGGATTGTACGACGATATTCAAGTTGGCGCCCACAAAATTAAAGTATGATAGGTTGTACAATAACGAGTATTCAGCGTTGTACACAAAGCAAAGTCACCGACGTAAGTCGTCGAACTCCAATTCGGTTTCATCCACGCCACCCGCAACAACGTCAGCAAGTTCATCTTCGTTCATACAAAACACTTCATCATCTCCAAGTTGGATAGATGATGATGACGATGATTTCGATGTAGATGAACTAGATATCAGTCTTTTTGATTTTGATAAACCCTCACCAATAATACGGCACGCCGCGGCTTTATATGATCCAATTCATCAGGAACAAGGACATGAATCAGCTGGTGATCAGGGTATAGTAGACAGAGCTGTTAACATCGCTAGCAATTTTCGGGAGATAGTAAATTGGTGGTCTACATTGGTTTTCCATTAAAAAAAAAAAAAAAAAAAAAAAAAAAAAAATTCTGGGTTATCATTTTCTATTATTTTATTTTTATTTTCTTCAAAGAGAGAGGTCGTCGGGAAAAATCAATGCGCGCATTCAGGAAGTAAAAAGGATCAAAAGTTTAAGGCCCGAGGCTTCTTTCTTGCTGTTAAATATAGATTAGATCTCTTTATCAAAAAGACTTTTTTTTTTTTTTTTCTACATGGATACAACTTATTTGTCACCGAACTAATGACGAGACAAACAATCTCTCCTTCCTCTTTTCAAATCTTTAATCATATCCAACCTCTTTTCAATTTTGAATCAACTTAATCCTAATCTCTATTAAACATAAGAAATTTCTTTTTTTTTAATTCCCGACTCTCGAAAAACTTAAGAAATACACAAAATTATATACACATACAAGATCACAACATATATATATATATATATATTTCACTTTTTTTATAAAGAAAAAAAGAAAAAAAAAAGAAAAAAAAAAAAAAATCAAAACCTCAATTATGTTTTTGTATTTTTCATATATGGTTTTGAGTTCATGCTCACCTAATGGTGGTGGGTGTGTCCACTGTATATATTATAACAACAAAAAAGAAAAACTCCCACTTCATAAGAAATAAAGTATTTTATACAACAGATTTCGTCTACATTATCTCGACTATTCGCAAATTGAAAATTGAAAATTCGATTTCTCTATTTTCTTCGTTTTCTTTCTTCCATAGTTCCAAAAAAAAAAAAAAAAACACTTGCCGCCATGAATGTACTAAGATGTATCATGTACCTGCGCAAATTAAATTTCAATCGAATTTTTATTGTCAGTCAGTCAGCCCATGATAAGAAAATTTTTAATAAACAAAGGACGACGCGTCTCTTTTCTTGGCGCGTAATTTGTCATAGTATGTTACTGTATATGCAAAATGTATTAAGTGTGCATGAAGAGTATGCGTATATGCAAGCGTAATGGGAAATATGGAAATCTGATGATGACGCAAAAGGAAATTAGAGTGGTAAGAGAAATAAATTTGAGATGCGCTGCCGTGTATGTACTTGAATCAAACCATGCAATGCAGGATGGTGTGGTGAGCCACAATAAAGGGATCTCGTTTAATATACATCAAAGGAAACACATCGAAACATCACGCATGCAACCATTGATCGCGGAGATAAGATATAGATGAAGGCAAACGGTTTTCGTGAGTTCGATCCGTGTGCGTGATCTCCTTACTCGAGGCGATGCGCAACGGTCTTTGTTCTCGGTTGAATCCGGGTTACCACCACATGCTGTGCATTTTCCTCGCCTCATACTTTCCTACCCGGGAAGACCCGAGACGAGTCGTGATCCTTTCGGCAAAAAGAGGAATACACAATCAATGGTGAAGCTTTGCGCTCCCACGTGGTTACTATTCTTAGATCATCACATGACTTGTCACGTGACGTACGATCATGAAAGTCCGCATTATCGGATAACTGATTTTAAGAGCACAGCATAATCAGTGAACCGCGATGAAGCTTCACTGTACACCATCAAATCGAATTCCTCTCAATAAGTAATATAATACGGCAACTGTTGATTCTCTAATAGAGTAAGTGGGGTGCATGCGTTGTGTCATCTACTTTTCTTTTCTTCTATGCTCCAACGGCATTCAACGGTGATACCACATTTACCAGATCGACATTGATTCAAACGCGCGTATACGGAAATGTTGAAGTCATTCTAGCCAGTTACATCACAGGTGGATTGTTAAACAAAGACCGTTCATCCTTACCCCATATGACAAAGTCACTATACAATTAATCATTACAGATTAAACATTGCAGCCTAAGTTAAATTAGTTCATATTAATTTGCCAATATGGTTGGTGATTGACAACAGGGACTATCATCTTAGTCACTAATGACCATTGTTGTTGAATATTATGACCTCTCAATTGGGACGTTCGCTAATACCTTATTGTTCAATTTTGAATCAGCCACAACGAACAAATGAAGGTACACAAGCGACCACCAAGATTCGGGACCTTACCGTTTAAAGGCGAGAAAGGTTTTTTCGCACACACCCTTCTGAATTTGGTGAAGAGTTCAGCGCACATCTTTCCGCACAGCCGACGCTAAAATGATTATTAAATCTGAACAATAGAAAGAAATTCATTGATTATAACAAATTACGACTTGGTCACAACTGGATTTTCATTATTGTATGCTATTTCTGGTAAAATTCTACTCACACTTATTTACTGACCGGCGTTAGCCCCTTTTCTGAACCCGTCGGTCAGCCAGGATTTACCAAAAAATTTGGGGAGCTCGTCAACGGCGGAATCGAAATAATAGATATACGGTTCATTCGGGCGCACAAAAACCATTGTTCACAAGGAAATCCTCTAAATTTGCGCTCAACCACCACATCGTTTGTGTAGTTTGAGTAACATCGGTCGTAACAAACGGTCATTTTGTTTTCTCTTTCGGAGCGTGCGAAATCTAAGATTGTCTAGCATCCCAGACTACTTTTTTTTTTTTTTGTGGGGAGAACGGATTAACAAAATTCGGATCTGCACAAGGTCAAATGATTCGGATGACGGAAAATTCTGCTGAGTTGGAACTGAGTCATTACCACCTATTAACAATAACATTAAACTAGGTTACAAGTATGCGCTTTTTTTTTCTTTTTTTTTTTTAATATATGTACATATTCATTTCACAGGAAAATATAAACGGTAGATGCTGAGTTCGTGAGATTGGTGATCGCACACCTGATGGATTGTTGGTAAATATTAAGCTTCTTGTGATGTGAATTGTTGATGCTTGAGGAAAACCTTGTTGATAAGAATTGTGAGATAAGCACTTCTCGGAGCAGAATGCGAACCGAGTCAATTCTGCATCGTAATGAAAAAAAAAAAAGGTTACGTTCGCAGAACAATTCAGACAAAGAGTGTCGGTCTGTCTAACGTAATGTGGTGGTTTTTTATTTTCCTTATTTGGTTCCGCACAATACATGCAGCAATTTCTTTGATAAATTCAAGATGGTGGCGTCGTGCTTGCTGACGAAATTCTTAGAGACGATCGACGTGGTACCCGAGGTTCGAACGTATCGGTCGTTCAATTGACTGGCTATGAAACAGCGGAAGGTCGACATTTCGATTATGCAAGGAAAATTTGTAGAGCCCTCGGCGAAAAATTTGATAACGACATTTAAAAAACAATGAATACACTCTCCACAAGATCTCTTGAAATTTGCACGCACTTAATCTATCGCTTATGTCATCATTTCCCCACATTTTCTGCAAGATGGTCACCAAATAATGCACCAATCCCCATTTGGCACAGATTTACTCCCAACATACCTCTAATTCAACAATAGCTGTTCATTAAAACAATATAAAACGTAATTTTAGCCCCAAAATAATTGCCCAAGATGGCAACCACTGTGGTCGATCGTTTCTCACCCCGCAAAAAAAAAACAATTTTACCCCACACTTTTTAGTTTCCTTATACGCTCACAATGTCAGATGGTCAATAGTGATGATATTTAATAAATACAGTATATGCAATTCCTAATTACTTTAAAAAAAAAAGTATGACGAATTTTGTGCACCTGCTTAAACCTGGTAAAAGTTTACTACTATAGAATAATAATTCTTTAATTGAGTAATATAGGTTAAATTGGATAAGATCGGTCCATCGTTGTTCGTGACCGTTCATCGAACCCAACTTGATTTTTCTCACTTGGGGGATTGTCATTCTTCCTTCCTGAAATTTCCCAGCCCACCTTCGGTCACGCCCTTGTTGGATTGTCCATTATCATATTTGGAGCGATAATTTCATTAAGGTATTGCATGAAGTAAACAAAAATAATTCCTTCTGTGGACCCTCCCTTTAAACATCCACCATTAGAGGAAAACCTCATTCATTCGTATGCCTAAATTAACTGAAAATCGGAACCTAAAAAAGAGCTATCCATCGAACGAACTAAAAATCGAACATCTCCGGATAGAATGCATATGGATAAGCGATGCTCCCTTCATGATGTACAATTTAGGGTTCGATTTTCATAACGAAATGTGATACGATAAATTAATAACCGGTTTGATTATTTACAAAGATGATGACGTAGGGTAAATATGGACACAAACCTCCACTCGACAACCTGTTTTGCTCCATTTTCTCGATTCCGTGTTCAATTTCTTCGGGACTTTTCGTGTGTAGAGGCTAATTCACGAAATATCGGGCAGCTTCTTCTGAGTATGTTTGTACGACATTGCCGATTTTGGGAATTGAACAAAGTTCGAGACTAGCAAACAGAAACAAACATTTCGATGACGAAAACACATACGGTTTACACTCCTGATAGCGGAACCATGCTCCGAAGCAAAAAGAAAAATCCTTTTTACATCGTGATCTCGCGTTCTTCCACTCCCAACCAACCGTAAGGTGCAACCGCGCGTGCAGTACACAAAGGATGAAAGGAAACTCTTGATCGGAATTCTATGGTCCTATTCTTACGTGATGAATACTTTTGCGATTGAGATGGACGATAAAAATCCAAAAGATTTTCAAAGTGTTTTGGACTGCAACATCTTACGTCCGATTCGAAATCCACATTATAATCCTGAGAATTACCGTATACTCAAGAGCTCAGAAAAGATATAGATACATACATATGTTTGTTTTTTTTTCTTGTGATCCAGAAACAGGATTTAACGACAGATCACATGACATTTCCATATTGTTGGTAATTGTGGGTAATTACACAGGTACTCCCACCATGCGTTATCAGCGAAATAATCTTTTGATGTGTTGTACTTCAAACAGAAAGTAAGAACGGAGTGTTGCGAGTAAAACTATGAATCAAAGATTTTTGGATGCGAAACAGTTTTCACACAAAGCACAAAATGAATTGGTGTGACATGCATTTCCACTTTCTGTTCCATATTAATGAGTGGCAGGAAAGAATATTGCTTGTCCCTAATTAAAAAAGAGATAATGCGCTCTGTAGATTTGATCCTAAAACGATATGACAATATATGACCTCTTTGGATTTGCTTTCCCAGGCGATAATAAACCAAGGTTTGCCAACTCAGGATTAAAATGTCACCGAGAAAACGATCTTTTAGGAAAATTCCTGGGTAGATCAGGAAGCAGAGGGTTTAATCTACACCATATCAGAACAGTATTCAGATTGGTCACACTTCCCATGAATTGATAAGACAAGTTTTGAAATTTAGGTAGCCAATATTCTTTCTCCTTCAAACGTCAAATTTCATTTTCACTCGACAAAATGCATTTCCTATATACAGCATATACACATCCATCTAAACATGCTGCACGCTGTTTTCTGCCAAAACCAAAAGTCTCGACGTCATTCTCATCCTAGTGGCACTTTGTGTTAAATGCGTGTTCTTGAAGTGGCCTTCAATCCACAGCGAATCTTCGTTCTCAAATCTACGAAGAAATCTTAATGATTATTCATGCATCCGTCTTATTTGTGAGTGGGAAAAAAATAATTGATTCCCACCTTTTTCAAGCCACAGATGACTTTTTTCGTTTTGTATACGTTTTTAACGATTACCTTGTACCATCAGATAGCTTGATAACTCCTAAATAAAGCAATCGAGAAATGCACACTATCTGAGCATTGGAAATCGGTGAGAAAGCCCATACCAGATTGGGTTCGTGGAATGTACATATGCAGTAATCAAATTCCCACCCCACCCAAATTTAACTAATTCAGAAGAAAGTGCCTCATTCAGTGGAGATATCAAAGATTGTGCTGACGGTTTGATAACGACTGATAACAAAAGATTACATTACCCTCGTTCTCAAGGTTTTGGTGTGTCTGGGAATGTCAAAAAACCTGTGAAAAAAAACATAACATTCAGGTCCTCTCTCGATCAGAAAAGCCCAATTCGACATACTGTAACGATACGCGTCCCATATTTGATTACGATAAATAAATTTGCGGCACAATGGATCAATTCACGTGTAAGAAACATCGTTTACAAAATTCCCCCAGGGGTCTAATTGAAATGTTTTATGTCCCCTCCCCCCATGTCACAAAAATTAATATCTTACACATAACAAATGGTAATGATTGTTCAAACCTGAAACATTAAATTAAAACTTACAATCGTTCAAAGCAAACGCGCCAATAAATCATTTCTTTCTTTATCATTATGATTTATTGTTAAAGGTAAAAAAAGTTTGTTTAAGAAAAAAGTTTCTTGTCATTTATTATCGTTATATTTTATTTAAGACTGGAAGCATGCTTTCTATCATTAAAAAAAAATTCGAATTTATACTGTATATTAATTACTTGAAGATATAAATCAGTACACAGTCATATGATTTTTCATGAAATGTTAAAAAATATCACATTTTTATTTTTGCGATAAATAAATTTGGATTTGGATTTTGTGCTAAAAAAAAAAAATTAAAATTAAATAATTGATTATATTTTTAACAAAATAAAATTTTTTGTATTGATACAATTAAATTGTTCTATACAAAAATAGCTTAGTGACTTTCTTTCTATAGTTTATATAAAGAACAATAACTGTATTCAAAAAAATATTTTTAAAGAGTCAGAAAAATATAAAGTTTTTTCACATTAGGGAAAAACAATCAGATTCTAGGCCTACCTTAAAAAGTAATAACTGCTCCTAAATTTCATTTTCTATTTTTTGCATCTATTAACAATATCCAATAATTAGAATTTTTTTAAACATATCTTTTAATATATTATTATTTTTTCTTATACAAGTTCTACTTTGAATTTTTTTTAAAACTAGTTTATTTTATAAAAACAAAATTGACATTATAGTTGTTTATTTAAAAATTAGAAATTCAATTTATATTTATATGCATAATCTGATTAATAATCAATATTATACTGTATATACAGTGTGAGTCATAAATTTTTGGAATTGGTTTTTTTAATATAATTTTTTTAATAACTATTTAAATATTATGA